CTTTTGGGTATATAATTTAATATTTGAAGAATTTAACATTTGAAGAATCACTGACATATTTTCCTAGCAATTGCACAATTTTACATAATCCCCAGCAATACGAGGCTTGCAATTTCTTTATAGCCTCATCAACCCTTTATATTTAACTCCAAAAAAGTCATTTTAGCCATAATTTAGTGGTGTCTTATTGCAGTTTTAACATGCATTTTCCTAATAACCAACAATTTTGAATATATTTTCTTGTGTTTATTGGCCATTTGTGTATTTCTGTGGAGAAATATTTATTCAAATCTTTTGGCTATTTCTTCAATAGATTTTTTATTACTGAGTTTTAGAATTTCTTAATATATAGTAATATCTCAGCTCATGAAAGCTTCTGTTTGCAAACAATTTGGTTCACAAACAAAAGCATTCAGCAAAAATTTGCTTCTGTTTGTGAGCTCAGCATTGGGTAATGAACCTGAGCATGGTCATCTTCCCCAGAACTGTGGAATAAACTGAGTTTGTGAACTGAGATACCACTGCATTATGGATATTAAGGCCTCTCAGACATATGATTGCCCATATTTTCCCCATCCTACATTCTGTCTTTGCACCTTTTTGATAATCTTCTTTGAAGTAGAAAGGTTTTAGTCTTAATGAAATGTAATTTGTTTATATTTTTTGTTGCTCGGGCTTTTGGTGTTGTATCTGAAAATCCATTGCTAAGTCCAAGATTATGAATATTTATCCCATGTCTCTTCTAAGAATTCTATTTATTGTCTATCTATCTTTCTTTTTCTTATGCTTTTATGTTTAGGCCATTCTTGTTCTAATTTTTATATGTGGTGTGAGGTAGGGATGCACCCTCATTATTTTGAATGTGGAAATCCAGCTGTACTGGTATCATTTCTTGAGGAGATTATTTTTTCCCCTTGTATGGTTTTGACACTCATGTTGAAAATAATTATCTACAGATGTATGACTTTACTTTTTAATTTAGAAGTTGTGTATGTCTTTCCTGCTAGCAGGAGTGTCTTTTGATTACATTTCTTATTTTGAGTTTGAAATTTGAATGCTGAGTGCTCCAACACTGGTCATCTTTTTCAAGGGTGTTTTAACTATTCAAAGCCCCTATAATTCCATATACATTTGAGAGCCATGTTTTCTATTTCTGAAAAAAAGCTCTTTGAATTTCTATGAAGATTGCATTGAATCTGTGTATCACCTTGATAGTACTGACATTTTCACAATATTAAGTCTTCTAGGTCATGAACAGCGGTGTCTTTCAATGTATTTAAGTCCTTGTAAGTTTCAGCAAAACCTTGAATAGTCACTGTACAAGTCTTTCTCATTCTTGATGAAATTTATTCCCAGATGTATTAGTTACTTTTCTTCTTGCTGACACAAAAACCTTAATGCCCAAAGTTATGGGAGAAAAGGTTTATTTAGCTCACAGTTTGTAGATGTTTCAGTCCATAATCTGCTAGTTCCAAGGCAGGGTGGCACATGAAAGAGGGACAACTGTTCAGGGTGGCAGAGCACAGCAAAAGCAATAAGAGACCTTAACAGCATCTTTCTGCCCCTTTTCTGCCAAGACTACTGGGATTAAGGTGGTGCCAAATCAGTCAGTGGACTGATTTAGTAACCACACACCCTTAATCCCAACATTCCACTTTCTAGATTCAGCCACTTCTGAAAAAGCCATATAATCATGTGAGCCTTTGGAAGACATATAGGCACAAACCATAATATTCACAAACCAAAACACCAGATATTTCCTGTTTTTGAATTCTTTTGAAAATGGAATATTTACTTAATTTCTTTTTTGACTTTTTCATTGCTAATGTACAGAAATACAAATGCTCTTTAAGTGTTGACCTTGGTCTTCAATCACTGCTAAATTCTCCTTTTGAGTATAGTATTTTTCTTGTGAACTTTTTGGGATTTTCAGTATACAAAATCTTGTCATCTGCAAATAAAGATAGTTTTACTTCTTTTCAACTTGAATGACACATTTCTTTTTTGTTCTTGCCTAATGTATTGGAGTAGAACTTGCAGAATACTGGTGAATAAAGTGTTGAAAGTGAATATCTTTGCCTTCTTTATAATCATGGGGGAGAAGCTTCCAGTATATCATCCTTGAGTATGACATTAGCTGTAGGAATTTTTTTTGACTTGCTGTGTAATCATGGAGATTACATGCCAATTCATGATGATCTAGTTTAAACAATAGTTTAATTTTAGATTCATGCAAAAACTGCTCTTTTCTAGCTCAAGCTCCTTCTTTTATGTTACTGATATCACAAATTATATCTCTATCCCTAGTATACTCAATAACATGGGTGTATAATTGCTTTTATTATGTATTTGTCTTTTAAATCATGTAGGACTACAAAGTAAAATTATAAACCAAATGTACAATGATTCAGCTTTTGTATTTGCTTATTTTTTTACCTTTACTGGAAATCATTTTGCATAATCATTTGAGTTACTGTTCAGTGTCTTTTCTTTCCTTTAGGTAGGTTTAGTAACTCATTCAACTTTCATTTATCAGAGAGTTTCTTAAATTCTCCTTCAGTTTTGAAGGATAGTTTTCGCTAACCTTCCAGATGTAGAATCCTTGGACCCTGGGATTTTTTTTTTTTTCCCAGTTTAAATAGGTCATCACACTGACTTTGGCCTCCATGCTTTCTGATAAAAAATTAGTGGTTAATGAAGATCTTTTGTGGGTAATGGGTGGCTTCTTCGCTGCTTCTTTTGAAATTCTCTCCTTGTCTTGACTTTTTAGAGTTGGATTATAATTCCTTGGTGTAGATCCCTTTGGTTTTAACTTACGGAATTCTTTGAGCTTATTCAATGTGCTGTTTAGTGTCTTTATTGAATTTGGGAAGTTTTCTGGTATTATTTCTTCAGATATTCTTTCTTCCTCTTTCTTTATATTATCTCATTTTAAAATTTTTTACTTTTTCTGTTTTTTTTTTTTGGTACCAGATACTAAATTCATGACCTTGTGCTTGCCAGGCAAGCACTGTACCACTGAGCTACATCCCAGCATATTATCTCATTTTGAAACTCTGGTGCCATGTATTAGTCCACTTGATTATAATACACAAGTTCCTTAGACATTTACTTTTTCTACTGTTACTTGAATTGGATCAGTTCAATAGTCTATTTTCAAGTTTACTGACTCTTCTACTTGCCCGTGTTTGCTTTTTTTGTTTTCCTCCGGTACCGGGAACCGAAATCATGACCTTGCGCATGCCAGGCAGGCGCTTTGCCGCTGAGCTAAATCCCCAGCCCCCCCGGGTTTGCTTTTGAACGCATTTAATGAATTTTTACTTCATCTGTTGAACTCAGCTTTAGACTTTCTTTTGGCTCCCTTTAATAATTTCTGTAACTGTTAACATTCTCATTTTGTTTACGTATTATTTTCCTGCTTTCTTTTACTTTGTTTTTGCCTATGGCTTCTTTAGATCTTTGACCATATTTAAGAAAGTTATTTAAAGAACTTTGCTTAGTGAATCTAATATCTGCGTTTCATCAGGGATCATGTCTTTCCATTTATCTTGCTTTGCTGAAATATTAGAATGTGATAACTGTGGAATTCAGATTTTCCTCTTTCCCAAAGGTTTAATACATTTTGTTTTGCTATTGGTTGAAAGCTGTAGTAGTCCATTTATTGAGTGACTTTCCCAAACTATTTTTAAAAGACTCTGTAAGTTGCCATGGATAGTCACTGAACTCTCTGTTCCTTTAACATTTGTGTAGGTAGTGTTTTGCCAGAGAGTTCCTTGACCTCTTGAAGTAAAAATCAAATGAACAAAAACATCTTTCCCAGTTTTTGCAGGTGGGTTCTGAGCCGAGGTGATTAAACAACACTGCTTACACTGCATCTAGAGATTATCTAGAGCTGAAAGCTTCGGGTCTTCTCTGAGCATGCATCTTGCCCCCGGCATGCGCATGGCTTTCTATATCATGCAGTATACGCAGGTGTTTTTGAAAGCCTTAATTTCTCAAAAAGAAATTTTTTGTAGCTTTTCCTCCCAGGCATTAGGTGAGTACTTTAACCTTAATTATAATCTTTTGCCCCAAGCAAACTATGACTTATTAGATTTTGTTTTCAATCAGTGTGTTGTTTTTCTGCCCTGAGTGAGCTCCACATGAGGTGAAGTGGAGATTTGTGATCAGTTCTTCAGGTAGTTCTCAGACAGCCCATGAAACTTGTGAATAAAGTCTATTTTGCTTCCTCTGTGACTGGGGACCTGACTCCCTCCCTGGGAACACAGGCCACATCTTCAAGATTCTCACAGATCAAACGAGGGAGTGAGGCTAGTAAAAGTGAGAATGCCACAGAACTTTCTTACCATTTTTAGAGCTGACTTCTTCTTGGTTCGGTGTTCACTCTGTTGCTATTAGCTTTTGTCTGTTTTTCAGACTGTTGGCAAAGTACTTTCTGCATGTATTTTCAGTATTTGTCTGGAGAGATGGGAACTTGGAGCTGTATACTTCCCATTTTGCCCCATTTGTCATTATTTTAGAACATTGCTTCATAGAGACCGCATTATATAGATTACTCCATAATATAGATGTACCATAACTTACTGTAGATCATGCTGTGGTGATTATATTTCCACATTTTGATTTTTCAGCTTAGGATAAATTTCTTGAAGTGAAATAACTGTCTAAAGCTATGAACATTTTCCATCTTTTCATACTTGTCGAATTTCTCTGCTAAAGTTTTGCATCAATTTACATTTCCACAAGCAGTGCCTGAGATGGTGCATTCCATCACTCCATTATTTATAATTGAATAGTTTTGCCTACCTGATAAACAAAACATGGCATCCTGCTCTTTTAAGAATTTCTCATGGGACTTGAGTTAAAATCCATTAATTTTTTTGTTCCTTCAGTTTGTGATATGTTCACTCAGATGCATGGGCCAAAGCTATATGCCATTTTTCTCCTGAGGAATAGATTTCCCTGCTCTCATCAACACGAAACTTGAATTTATTTTGTAGTGAATCTGAATGGTGCCTACCCTAAGCTGGTGCCTTTCAGACCTGCAGGACGGCTGATCTCCCCACCTCTGCTGCTCTCGGTCATCCTCAACATCCTTCTCAGCCTGGCCATGCATATCGTGGGCTTTGTCTTGGTTCAGAAGCAGCCCTGGTATTCCATGGACTCACACAGGTATGATTACAGCCTCTGGTCAACCCTCACATTGTAATTTATATCATCGGGCCAACATGAATAGTGGCACATGAATCTTCATCCTGCCAAAGGTTTTGGCTTCCTTAAATCCTTTAGGTAAATTTGCAACAGATTTTTCTTCTCCTTAGCATAGTTTGATGGTATCATTTATTAGCAAATACCTTCGCCTGGGCTGCATGATAATGATCAATGACCATCTATTATATTTAAGATGGCCAAGGATTATAGTTTGCTTTATCTGCCCCAGTTTAAGTGAAATTATTAAAATTTTTCCCCTTTAAAAATGTCCCTGGTCATGATGAGTTATGTAGTCATTCTACTTATAAATTATTAGAGGACATAAGGCTTTCAAGTGGAAGACCATAACCATTATATAGCTTTAAATATACATGATGGGTACAGAATTTGGTGAATGAATGACTGGTCCTATCTCTATATCTATCTATCTATCTATCTATCTATCTATCTATCTATCTATCTATCATCTATCTATTATCCATTCTATATCTACCTATCTCTATATCTACCTATGTATCTCTTGATCTACCTATCTATTATCTATCTCTATATCCATTTATCTCTATATCTATCTATGTATCTCTGTATCTATCTATGTATCTAAAATACAGGTCAACCTGCTTGATTTTTTTCTTCCTTGTTTTTCAATATATTCTTTACCAAAATGTAGGCAATTCAGAAGTGTTGAGTGCCTTTCTGGACACTACATGGAGTCCTGTGGATAAAAATGCTTCCTAAGGGCCTTACATCTTACTTCATTAGTGTTTTGTTTGTTTCCTTTACAGTGCCTGCACAGTGCAAAATCAAAATGTCTCAAAGTTAACCATTTCTCCAACTGCTCCAGAAAAAACTGGAGCTAATGGTTCCTATACAAGTTTTGAGAACACTACTATATGGTTCTTGGGAACACTCAACTGCATTATTGTGGCTCTTATATTCTCTAAAGGAAAACCATTTAGGCAGCCCACCTACACAAACTGTGAGTAGAATCGTGTGGGACCAGAAGTAAGAGATCAGCGGAGAGGCTGGGAGTGGTGGTGCACACCTGTAATCCCAGCACTCAGGAGGCTGAGGCAGGAGAATCATTGCGAATTCAAGGCCAGCCTGGGCTACAAAGTGAGCTCACGGCCAGCCTGAACTGCATGACAAGACCCTGTCTCAAAAAAACAAAAAAATAAAAATAAAAAAAAAGAAGAGAAATCAGCAGAGAGAACAGATATGTCCAGGCTATGCCGGAAGCAGCTGTCGAGTTGGTCCTTATCTAGTGTCTCCTGACTTCCACTCCAGAGTTCTATCAAACACATTCTGCAGCCTCATTCTCATGAGGTTTTGCTCTTTCCTTCAAAGCTGCATTACATATGAAGGTTACTTTCTTCCTCCCATCCCTTCACCAGAAATTTGTCTTTAGGTGCCATTTCTTGGGCTCGCTCCAAATTAGGAAGATTTGTTTTTTTAGTACTTGTCCACATTCATCCTGGGAGCTGTGTGTGAGGAAAAATGTCACAGTACACAGTCGGAAACTGTCTCTAGTCATGAAGACAGTGTTGGGGATAGCATTGTGTAGCGACAAGCACGGAGTGGGTCTAACCTGGAGGTACCCGGCTATAGAGGATTGTAGAGGCTCTTGGCTGAAGGAACTCTCATCGTCTTACGTTCTGTGGTGGGGAGGTGTGATAGGAGAAGTGGGTCACATATTTAGTCCCTGGGATGTTTCTTTTGTACACCATCCCTGCTCAACTAATTGGGATAATTCAGAAGCATGAGTTGAGGAATCTGCTTCTTCATAAAAATTTGTTCACTCAAGGAAAATTATTTTGTCTCTAGCCTTCGTAGGATAAGGAAGCAATCAGATGCTGCTGCCCTGTACATAAGTAGAATTAAAAATGTATTTATTTACAGCCTTCTTTTTTCAGAGAAAAATATTTGAGGCAAATGATTTGCACCAAAGAGACTGGGGTACTTGAATGTCTTTAAAGCACTTACTAAAAATGTATTTTTCATATTTACCACTTTTATTAATTGAAACTAATAACAAGCACTTGAAAGTTTCTGCCTGCCTAAAGCACATGCATAGAAATTGTAAAGGTGAGACACACTGCACAGAAATGGGTGCTTTCCATCTATTACACTGTGTTTGATTTAGAAATGAAGTAAATTAAATCAATGTTAATCTAGGAAATGTCTGTCAATAGCTGTGATACTTCATACTCTGATTTCTTCAAATGATAGCTTGTTTCTTATTTCTTCAGATATATTTGTCTTTGTGGTGATTATACAGCTGGGAGTGTGTTTATTCATTCTGTTTGCTGATATTCCGGACTTGTATAGGCGTTTGGATGTAAGTCTGATCTCTGGGGTATTATGATCTTTTATAGTTTTGTGACACTGCAACTTCAAGCCACAATTGTTTTGTGACACTGAGAGTCACAGCTGCCTTGGACATGGGTATCTGACACCAGTTATGTACTTTGGGGATGGCTGAGTTTAAAAGAATGTTGAGTTCAAATCCCTTTTTAATTTAAACTGATCCAGAAATAAAATTCCATCTACTGTTGATTTCCTAAGCCTAAAGACAGCCTTTGAAAAATATTGAACATTTTTGTTTTAAAAGATCCACTGTTAGATTGGGAAAAAAAATCTATTTATATGTTTTCTTTTTGAAGTGTGGGAGAATTTCCTCTGAAGTACTTCTGTTTTGAAGTTGTTTAAAGCAATTTTGCCTGTAACACATTGTTGGTTAGTTCTCAAATCTGTATTAAGATTCTTCTACTTTTTAAAAACATGTTTTTCCTATATACTCACACTTAATGTCTGAAAGTTTATTCAAAGGGTGCACTCTTTTACATTCTGTAATATGGAGACAACTTTGAAACCCTAAAATGTAGACACAACTCTACATATTCAAGCAAGGCAAAAACATGTATTTTGATTCCTCTAACCTATTTATTTTTGAATTAAAATATGACCATGCTGAATGCTCTTTACACAAAAACACAACACAGGAGAGATGAGTAAAGAAATTGAGCTTTTTTTACTTAGCGCTTTGAGTATCTGCTTGCCTTTCCATCTCAAAGATGAGTTTTAAGAGGTCCAGGATGATACCTCATTCATTCTCATTTTACCCTTCCTTGCACATCAAATGGCACAAAATGACAAAGAAATGACTGACAATCAGCATGCATTAAGTTCCTAAACGCAGAGAAGCACTTACAGCATACAGGGCATTGCCAACCAACAAAACCTTCATGAGCTCGCAGTGACATTGGACCTGGTTACAAACAGCTACACTCATTTCTTTCATTTTATAATTGCACTACTTTGGCTAACGGTGCATTTACCATTGTTGTTCAGAGACTTCATTAATTAGAGTAACTTCTTGTGGAAATAGACTTTGCCCGCTACTTATAACAACACTGCAGACATTAAAGTTAAGCCGAGTTGGGCTTGATTTAGTCTTCAGTATCCGTGGATTCTGCAGAGCGGCTGCATGCTCTCAGATAGCAAAGCGCTGGAATATTCTTGGTTGGCGGGAGCCTCTGCAGACTCACTGCTGGCGTGACACAAATTGCCTGTACTCAGAATTGTTCACATTTTTAAATAATCACATTTGCTCTTGCTATATGCAAATACAGGTTCACTTTAGAAAACGTGGAATATTTGGGCAAGAAACATAATATTACTTACTGTATGTTTCAATCTTTTAGAATTCATATATTATGAATGTGCAAGGACTAATTTGTGATGTTTATTTTATTTTAATGGAATCCTGCTGTTTTGCAACCTAGATACTGCTAAGCTTTTAAAAAATTATATTAATTTGTTTTTAATAAGCATATACTAGTGTGGTTGAAATTTTAAAAATTACAAGATAGTGAAAATCTCCCACTCACTGCAGCTCTTCTCTGGGGTCAGCGGGTGATACCATTTTACACTGTGTACTTTCTCGCTTGTTTTACACATATGTACAGAAGTATATATAGTTCTTGTGTTTATATTGTCTCCCACTTTTTACATGAACAGTAGCAGCTATTACGTTTGTTCAGAACTCTGAGATGTAAATGTCAAAGTGGGATGCACTGTGCAAGAGATTTATTTGGAGGAGGTGCTGTCGGGGAGCAGTGTAGGAAGCCAGGGCAGGTGGGGAAAGGTGTGATGCTATGAAGCAGGCCTGACCTCATGTAGGAGAAGGCAAGGAAGGAGCGCCAGATGAGCAGAGTCCTCGTCTGCCCTGCAGTTCTAAGGGCTGCGCCAAACTTGCCTCTCACATGTGTCTTCTGTCTCACAGGAGTGGATCCCGTGAGAACCCCAGCTGTCCTCACTTACAGGCTTTGAGCAGCCCGTGAGAAGTATGGCTTTGGGTTTGACGTGGTGGTGATCATGAGCATAGTGTTGGGGTGTCTGTTACTTATCTTCCCAGCAGCAGGAGATCTGAATGGAACATTCTCATAGCTGTGTGTATTTATCTTCCCAGCAGCAGGAAATCTGAATGGAACATTTTCATGATTGCTACAACCACATACACAGTCCTGCACCTTGCTTCTTGCATGTAGCAGTATATTTTGGTACTTGTTTGTATCAGCACATAAATACGCCTCATTCTTTTTAATGACAATGCAATATTCTATTATATTTATTATATTACATGGTATATGTCATGCATATACCATAATTTATACGTTGATTCCCTATTGATAGACATTTAAGGATTTTTCCCAATTTTTTACTATTTCAAATGAAGATGCAGTAAAATAACCTTATTAATACATATAGCATATAAATATATCATCTCAGTCATGCACAAATATAGCTCTGGGAAGAATTCCTAGAAATGGATTTGAGTTTTTAATTTTGAGAACACCATTCTCCACAGACTTTCTTCAGTTTTTACTCTCGCCAGTGTATGAGGCAATGTACAAGATGGTGCTGAGTATGGAAGAGTGCATTTGGTTTTTTTCATCCATCCATCCATCCATCCACCCACCCACCCACCTACCCATCCATCACACATATATACCAGGCATTGTCCCTGGGACAAACCTGGGGAAGGCAAAGAAGTGGGGAAAGAGACATTTAGTGCCAAGCTTCAGTTCAGCCCCACTTGCTCTCTTGGCAAGTGGCCCTGTAAGGGCACAATCTGTGTGGCTGTGGCCACCGTCATGAAGGTGAAGGCTTGGCTCCATGCTCAAAAGCAAGACATGCTTGAGGAGAGACATGGCCCTGGAGAGAGAAGGGCAGCCCTGTCCAACGCTTTGGTTTGACACATGTATCTCAGGGCTGCTTGGGAATAAAGCCACATTCCTGCATTCCCTCTTCAAAACAAATCAAAGCAAGCTGACAAACATACTTTTATTACTATTTATTTTGATTGTAAATTGACCAAAGTTATTTTAGGAAATTTAGAAATTATAGAGATGAGATAAAGAAAGCAAAGCAAAGCAAAGAGCAACTATCATAATCCCCAAATCTGTGGAATTATTGAGTATAATCCTTCCAAATGTTTTTTCTATATAAATATCTATAAACATTTATATATGTGTATATACATGCATTTATGTATATATGTACACATACACACATATGCATTTTACATATGCCTTATGCCCTATGAAAATGTACTGTGAATGTGAAGATGTGAACATTTTTCAGCATGTGTTTGTACCTAGAGTAACTGGGCTTTGTTATCTCCTTCCAGCTGCTCTGCACTCCTATCCTGTGGAGGGTCTACATTGTCATCATGCTAAGCTCCAACTTCCTCGTGTCCCTGTTTGTGGAGGTAAGTGCCTCAGGCTGCTGATGGCCGTGTGAGAGCAGTGGGTGTTCTGAGGAGTGTGAAAATGGAACAGCTGTAGTGGGCAAATACTCAGCACTGCAAGCAGCTCCCTGCCTTCTATGCTGCGAGCGAACTGCTTTTCTCTGATGAGCTTCAAACAGGCCATTAGTTTTTTCATACATAAAGTGGGGTCAGGGAGAATGGAATTATGGTCTTTGAGATCCTAATCATTTCTAAGTTACCAAATGGAGACCTAAACAAAGCATAAAAATCACATTTTAAACCTGTGGTCTGATTCACGTATCAGTTAGCTCTTCCATCACTTGGACAAAAATACCAGGCACCAACAGTTTAAAGGAAGAGAGCTTTATATTGATTCACAGTTTCAGTGGGTTCAGGCCATGGTTGGCTGGCTCCAAGGCAGAAATAGCATGGTAGAAGGGCCTGGCAGTGGAAAACTGCTCGTGCCACGGTGGCCAGGGGGTGGGATGGAAGACCCAGGTCATGCCTGCACTGACTCTGCCCCTTCTGACCAGGCCCCACCTCCAGGAAGCAGCACAATCAGCTAAGAATTCATCAGTAGACAACTGATGATGACAGTGTCCCCCTGATCCACTCACTTTCCAAAGTCCCACTTCTAAAGATGAGATTTTTTGGGGACAATTTAGATCTAAATCATAACAATTCACACACTATGACATTTGCACTTTTAACATATATAATTCAGTGATTTTTTTTAGTATAATCCTGAACTGTATAATCATAAACTCTACCTAATTCTGAAACATATTCATCATCCCAAACGAAATCCCAAACTCTTTAATTGCCGCTTTTCATCTCCTTCCTCCCTACATTGGGTAAATAACAAAACGCACCTAACAGTAACTTAAACAGTAAAGGTGTTTATTGATTCCACAAGAAGAGTGAAAGTAAGTGGCTGCAGGTCTCAAAGATGCTGTTACGGATCTGCATCTTTTTGCCTGTCTTCCCAGCATCCTTAGATGTGGCCTCTCACACTTGTGCTTATTGATTATGCTTCTCAGAGAGCTTCCATATAGCTGTGTGATGGAAATGTTTCCATGAGGGAAGAAAGTGAAAGCAGAGGTGCCAGTGAGATTTTTTTCTCAAATTTCCATTTTTTAACCAGGAAGCTAATTTTTTTTTCTGCAGCCCAATCCCTGACTTCCTTTTATACTTATTGGGTAGAAGTCTTTTTGTGATTCTGAGTGGAAGAGGATTCTTGGAAAGGGCATCCACGCCAAAAGTTAAGACAGAGTGGCTTGGATTGTTGGTTTTCCTTTCAGGTGCAAAGGGCAGAACTTAGGGAATGAGCTGTAGGTTATCAAGTATCAAAGTCCTCCCAAGCCCCTCGGAGGAAGCCCTTCACTCCTGCAGTATCACTTGTGCTTATCATTTCTTACTTGTATCTATCAGTCCTTCGGTCATTCCTTATTCATTCATCTTTCTACAAGCATTTGTTTCCCTTGTGCCATGTCCTAGGCTACTCTGCCTGGGGGAGAAAGACGACAGAGGGATGGAGCTTACAATCTTCAGGGAAAAAGGGGATGTCTTAGTTACTTTCTCATTCCTGGGACACTGTACCTGACACCCACAACCTAAGAAAAGGTTTATTTTGGTTAACAGTTTGTAGAGGGTTCCGTCCATAGCTGGCTGGCTCTGGAGCAGGATGGCACAGCAGAGGAGCATGGCAGAAAAGAAACAGCTCATGGCCTGGCAGGCAGGAAGCAGAGAGGGATCACAGAGGAGGAGGGACGTGTACCCTTCCAGGAACACCCACAGCGACTCTCCTCTTCTCACCGGGCTTCTCCTCCTCTCACCAGGCTTCAGCGTCCAAGGTCACACTCAGCCGTAACCCATCAGTGAGCTAATCAATCCACTGATGCAGGTCACAGGCACAATTATGTTGCCTCCCAAAAGTCCCATCTCTAAGGCTCTGAGGGACATCTAGAAAACAGAGGACAAGTGTTTCTGTTATTTTTCTAGTATTCAACTACACTGGCGGGAACTCATCGTGGTTGCTATGGCACCTAAAGCCCTGCTATATTCTAGTAGGGGTGAGTAACTCTTATTCAGTTATAAATGTCAGAAATGACCCTGCCCATCATCAGCAAATAGAGAGTAATTTAACGCTTGTGAAAACCAGTTCCTTTGTTTTTCATGTTGAGAGAGAGATAGAGATGTACGCAGGAACATTTAGTGTGGGTTCCCAGTGGCTCTTCAATTGAAACACAACATTGAAAGACACCAACTCCAGTGCCAGGTCCCTCTACTGCCACCTCCAGCCTCTTAGGGCTTCCCTTCCCTTCCAGCAGCGGGTCCTCGGGGACTCACCAAAACCATTTGAGGCTTTGGTGAAAGTGCTCTCCAGCTTGCCTCAACCCAGATCAGCCCAGAAAATAAGCCAGTTAAATGAGACCTTACTATGCCAAGTGTCACCATCTGTCTGCTGAGGCCATGGGAGCCGATGTGGATAGCTCTAATGGTTCCCATCATTTTAAATTACTTGTAAGTGTATAAGAGCGTATATAAGTATGCATGGGCTACAGCTAGGAAGAAAAACTCAGGTGGTGGAGTTTTTTTAAGAAATAGAATCTCATGCAGGCTTTTCCTTTGTTGCCAGCTCTGCATGTCATTTATAATGTAGAGTGACAGGACAGTCACCTCTCGGTGCTTTCATTTCCCCTTCCAGACCAGCAATATGACACAGGTCGTCTCATTTCTAGGGCTGAGGAAAGCTCCAGGCAAGGTGGAGAGCACTAATTTGTCTTCCTCTCTCCCTCCCCTCCTCCTCTTCTTTTCCTTTTCCTCTCCTTCCCCCTCCCTCTCCCTCTTCCTTCGCTTTCTCTCTTCCTTTCTTCTGTTTGAAGGTCTGCTAGGGTTTCATGGAGCTGAGTTAGATTTTAAAAGTTTTAGTTCATACCAATGCTCCTGCCTTATCCCAGCTAGAAGGAGAATAACAGCTTTCTCATGAAAGGAAAGGGAGGAAACCCTTGCTCTGAGAAAGTAGAATAACAGGTCCAGCCAGGTGAGTCCTGAGATTTGCAAGAAGCTGATACTGGCCAAGTGGGTCTTCAGCAGCCTGAGAGAAGATGATCATTTTTCAGAGGAAAGATTTGAGCTATTTTCCATTCTTTCCATGGCAATGGAACTCAAAGAACAAAGATGGGTGGATTTAAGTAAAATTGTTATCTATTGTATAGTTCTTTTAGAATTCTATAAATTAATTCTTTCGATCCAACAACATCACTACTGTTGGACATCAAAAGCAGCTCTAGTTCCAGAGGACAGCTTAGATCCTCATGTTTTTCTTCTTGTTTCTTTCATGATAACATTTAAAACTCTCAACTTTCGTGACCAACTATAATTAAAATGGAAAATTAATATGCCAACCTCTCCCATACTCTGTATTGTACGTCATAACCTGGGCTGTGTTCAAGGCCCAGTCTAATTTATGAAATACAGAGGCAGTCCACAATGTTTCTAGAGACACACAAATTTTAAAATCTTGAAGTGCCTTTCAGTGAAGGGAAAGTTGGAGGCATGTGTGAATGTGGCCCAGGTGCACTCTGTTTATTAAATGAGTGGTTCAGAAATGTGAGTCAAGGGTGAGAATGATGCCCTGCTCGGCACTGTAGATAATCTTTACAGCAAACATAAAGAGAGGTTATCTTTTCTAAGCCCTGAGACTCAGAGAGGGTAATTAATTTGTTCGTAGTTAAGTGTGAGAGCTGCAATCTGAATCCAGCTGTGACGTAAGAGGTGAAGGCCGTGCTCCAAGTTCACTGACCTCTATCCGGGATGTATAATGACAGGGCAGGCAGAGTGGGCCCAAGACACAGCACAAGCCTGCCAGATCCTTTGATAGATGTAAGTCTGTTTGGTGGCATTTTAAAATGCCATTTTCTATTAAATCAAATATGGATGGGATATGTCATAGGATACAGAATTTGAATGATTTTAAATTTAGATGTAAGATTCAAAAGAAATTTGAGATAGGCCACCTCCAGCTTGACTTCCAGGTGCTGGAAATTACATTCTTCTTCCAGAAGAGTTACTTAAGCAGGAAAGATTGAGGCATCAAGACCTGTACCATGAAATCAACTTGGATTTGTTCAGGGCTCAGGTTCTCTGTCAGCCTGGGTCTAAGAGGACGATGCGGTGGTGCCCAGTTAGAGATCTTTGGAGTGTGGAAGCCTTGCAGCGCTTGACCTCCAAATGTAAACAGTAACTCCTTATGTTGCAGGAGGCTATTATTGAAAACCGAGCTCTGTGGATGGCAATCAAAAGATGTTTCGGTTATCGATCAAAAAGCCAGTATCGGGTATGGCAGCGGAACCTGGCAAACGACTCCAGCTGGCCGCCGCTCAACCAAGTCTCCTACTCCGACATGCCAGGGTGTGGCAGGGCGGTTTCCTACAGCAATCCCGTGTTTGAGAGCAATGGGGAACAGCTCTGAAGGAACTGTGATGCTCAAGTTGATATAACTGAGAAATAACGGAAAAAGGGACCCGTGTCAAGTGATGTGAAAACGAGGCTCTTACAATATCAGCTGGAGTTTCAGGGATACCTATCAAATCATGGTGACAAAACTGAAGTCTGTTTGATAAAATATTTCCTACAGAGAAGAACACTGCCCCCAGAAGAATACTTTCCTCTTGGCTTCTGAGTGGAGGCAGCTAGTGAACCATGAGCAGGCCAAGGACTGAAATGGGCCAAGAGATTGTGAAGCCAAGGAGGGAAAATATGTACTCTGTTCTTTTGTTGTTGTTGTTTTGTTTTGTTTTGTGTTCTCAGTGCCAGGACCTTGAGCAAGCTAGGTAAGCACACTACAACACTGAGTCACACTCACACCATCAGTCCATGTAAGCGCTATGTTTTTGGATAATATTCCTTCTAAATGAGTTGAGGGGAGTCATAATATGTATATGTATAGAATTGTAACATGAAAGATCATTTTAAAATTTTTACTTCACTGATGGAAAGTTAATTTGTGGGAACCATCACATCAATTTTCAATGTCTGGTTTCCTTTCCTTGGTGGTACTGTTCAGATTTGAGGCTTTTTCTTCTCTTTCTGCCCTTCCCCTACATAGTATTAAGGATGCATTCAGCCTATGCCGCAGTAACCAACAAGCCCCCTAGCTCAATGCCTTAACAAACTAGAGCTTCATTGCTGCAGGTGACTCTAGGACAGCTGTCCTCGGAGTGCTGACTACTTTGGTCTGACGCTCCACCACCTCAACCCAAGGACTCTGTATCATGGCAGGGAAGGAAGACACTGGAGGTCACAGGGATGATCAGGTGACAAGTGGCACCCATGTTTGCACCCATTCTGATCTCATAGGCAGGGATTTAGCTAAGGAGCTTGGAAGCACAGCTCCTCTATGCAGGGCTGCATCACAGGCATATGACCCATGGCTACACAGGCTCTCTGCTTACAAGGGCCTCTCACACAGTTTAATGCTCTGCTAGTTCTGTTTTGCATTTGTGAACAAGAATCCTCACATTTTTCATTTTACACCAGGCCCCGCAGATGATGTAGTTGTCTGGCTTCTACTCTACACTAAGGAAGGAAAGTAGCGTGTCAAGGAGCGCTAGTATTGTCTCCTCGCCTCTTCTGCTCACCCTTTGTTCTTCTGTGTTTCTTCCCATCTCATATGCCCAACTCCAGCTGTTTTCTCCTCTACTATTTTTTGTGAAATTTTATTCTTGTACATTCTTACTTACTACTTTATATTTTATTATTTTTCCTTTTTGGTATACATGTTTCTAATACATAATGATTGTGTTCAGTGTGGGGAGCTGGTAGGTGTACATGACACACCCTCCTTCTTTTTGAATCCCTTTCCACTCTGCCGCTTCCCTTCCTCTTCGCTCCATCTCTCGGTCCCCTTTCTTTTCACAGGACTTCTATCTCATTCTTTCCTATCTTTTATTTTGGGTTTCTCATATGAAAGAAACCATGAAATATTTAAGCTGCTGTCACTATTGTAGTTTTGTTATATTGGATTAATGTAGGGTAGCAAATACCCAGGATTCTGTTAGGTGGATCGGTAGCCAATACTGAATTCTCAGAGAATATCTACGTGTAGTATTTTAAAGTAAAAGCATAATATTCATTATGAACACGAAATGCCAAAGTGAATGCTCTGAGCAGAGGATAAATTGTTGGCCCAACTGGGCTTTGCCACTTATTAATAGCATTTGCAAGCATTCCTTTCCCGACTGAGCTCTTGAGCAGGGCTGCTGGGTCTGACTGCAGCTGATTCAGGGAACACGGGGTCTCCTAGCTACAAGGGTGCCTTGTTACTTCTGCTTCTACTTTTAAAATAGGGCATGAAGATATTTCTGTTTCACTTCTGTAGAATCATTGTCTTCCTCAGTACTGAAAGAAATGTTTCCTTTCGTAGTCAATCTCAGCAGTGATATAGCAGCTCAGACGTCTTTTTCCTAGAACTGATAGTGTTCCTCATTTCCCAGAAGTGGAGGGCTATGGGCAGGGGCAAGCTGGAGGTGGTCTACAACCCGCTTCTGAGCAAGAACAATGTGTGCAATTCACACTTTAGTGAGTCTCTCACCAAGTCATGTCTCCTCCCCTGGCTCATTGGAATTACACAGTTCTGGTATTAGAGGAGGAAGGGCTGAACATTTCCACCACAGCAACGAGAAAATGGAGATTCAGCATGGCAGGAGTAGATCCTGGCCTCAAACACAGTTCTGAGCAAGCCTTAACTGCTCTCGCAAAGCTCCTCATTTTGAAGCTCCAGTAGGGAAGGAGGTTCGGTGTGATTGTACAGTCAAGCAAAATTTCTTATTTTCCAGGGGGTGAAGGGAACACTTTACTAAAGACAGGGCATCTGGTCAAATAAATACTAGGCATCCTGCCAGGCCTGGACTAGAGGTGTGCTAAAAACGAAAAAAAACAAAACTTCCAAATAAATATCTGTTGGTCTTCCTGAGACTCTGGGTTAGTCTTGCTTTGGTCCTCAGAGCTTTCATTCTCAAGAGTTTACAAATGGAAGCAGGGTTAGAGGGCTCCGGTTCTCCACCACCCACAAGCTCTGAAAATCTTTGCCATCAGGGACTCATTGGAAGACTGTCTTCTTGGGACTAACCAGATCTTAGAAGCAGTAAGTGAAAGAAGAGGGAGGACTTAGCCTGGAAAGCGAGAGAACCAGGGAACTGAGAGTTGCAATCAAATACTTGAAGGATTATCACGGGAAAGAAGATCAGGACTCCACTGAGAGGCAGAATCAGTACAAAGGGGCAAAGAACATGTGGGAACAAATTCCAGTTCACGTGAAGACCATTGTGCTAGCAGCCAGCATGAAGCATAGAGAAGCTGGTGAGTGTGACATTTGTGAGTCAGGATATTGCAGGTCTAAGTGGCTATTCCAAGGCCAGTTAGAGAAGGGAGACAAGTGTGAAATGAAATTGATCCCTCTCAGGCTCCGTACCCTCAACACTTCAATCATATTCTGTGATGTGAACCATTTACTAGAGATGCCTACAGAGACCATCAGACTAGTGTTTGTGGGGATATGGGTTGGAGGGAGGACCTCTCAGCTCCCAGGATGGTGTGGAAATACAGATTTGGGATCTCTGTGCCCTAGAAGGGAGCTCCTGTTGGAGTTAAGAGTCCAGAAAAGATGCACAGAATGAGGAATCATAAATTCTATATTGACAACTGGAGGAATATTTCAGAGATGATTATTTTTTTAGAGAGAGGTTTTTGAAAAATTTGAGCAAAAAGTATCAGAAAGGATCTCAAATGTGAGTATAGAGCTACTTGCTACAAATATACTTTCCTGACCAGGGCTTGGAAGAAAAAAGGACACAGTTGCATGATCTAGATTCCTCGAGGGGTCCCCTGTAGCTTCAGTCCCAGACATCCAGCTCCTACATACAGAGAACCCTGACTAGGCTCTCCTCTCCACAGATATAAGGGTCTGAGGACAGAAGGTCCCCATGTTCTGATGTGCTTACAGAAGTGTGCCTTTGTACCCATGCAGATGTGGTGATAGGAAAGGGATTATTTATTCAGAACTCTGTATTTAGTTTATGCTATAATAAATTATTCTGTACAAAAAAGGCTTGTGAAATCTACAATCCTGTTTTCTAAAATCTACCTTTCTCTCTGTCTGTCTGTGTGTCTGTCTGTCTCCCTCCCTCCCTCCCTCCCTTTCTCTCTTACAGTGGAGTCTTTTACTCTAACAAATTGATGTGATCTATCCTAATGTTGAGTGAAAATAACATCTTTACAAGATTCCAGGCATTTCCTAGCACTACAAATGCTATTATTATTTCCAGCTATATACAGGGCTTTAGCATTTAAAGATGCTTTCGTACTTGTTCTTTCATTTTAGCCCTGTCACAACCTTAGGAGGAAAAAGCAAGGCAAGGACTACCGTCCCCCTGCTTTAATGAGGTGCCGGAGTCTTCTCTCAGCGTATTGCCAAGGACACATAGCTGGTGGTAGAGGAGAGGGCTCAGAAGCAGGTACAGCAGCGGGTCCCCCTGCTGTGCCATTCTTCAGTGTTGTTTCCTCATAAATGAAAAGTTTGTAGCCTTGAGCAACAAGCCCACAGCAAAGCAGTTATCCATCACAATTGTTACCATGGGTATAATTTCCCCTAGAAAGACTTTTTAGTTTTGAATAGAAGTTCCCTGGAACCTGACCATCAATCACAGGAAAGGGCAACTCCTACAGCTCAGGGGGTAAAACCGTAACACCAGAGTGTTGGGAGCCTACTTCATGTGATCACCTGAAGCTCTGGTTCTTGACTGCAGCATCCAGAAGCAGAAACCTGTATTTCTGGTTGAAATTTGTCTGTGTCCTGCTTTGTAAAGCTTCCCAGAATCATATAGATTCTCTTTTGTTTTTCAACTGTGTTCTCCTCCACACGTATAAAAAAATTTACAACTCCTGTCTCATACAACATTTGGTCTGCCTTTTGGTTTCTGTAAGATTTGTTAAAATGATCTTGTAAACTTTATCAATAAAATGATTTTCTTCCAAATTGGACAAACATACAAAGAAAGACAACAGGACATAACTGGGCTGGAGTTGCTGGGAGTGATCCTCCAGGCTCCCAAACCCCTGGAGGCTGTGGCTCCCCCAGGAAGCCTGCACTGGCCACACTCTCTGCCTTGGTGTTCCGTCCTGCCAACCTCGTTCCCACGGCTGATTCCTCCAGATTTCAACTCCTTTGCTGCTTCTTCCAAGAAGTCCTCCATGACCACTTTATCTAATGTTGCCTTTCTCCACTAGCTTGGGTTGTGTTTTTGGTCTTACTTGTGCAGCTCTTTGGGTGATTGAGACTTGCGAGGAACTACTTATTTTAGATCACATCCTTAGGAAATTACTGAGCTGAGTAAAACCCAAGACTATTGACTTCTAAATCAAGGGTCTTTGTAGTCTTTATCGCTGGCCAGCTTCTGCTGAAAAAATTAGTGAATCCACTGAGAAGAAGAACGCAGAGCATTATAGAGCCTTGTGTGTGGTTGAATGAAAAGTTCTTGCAGAGGCATCCAGACTCTCCCAGCTCTGTTTTTTTGTTCTCTCCCCACTTTTTTTTTTTTTTGTTGTTGTTTGTTTCTTTTGTTTTTTTTTCTGGTACCAGGAATCGAACTCATGACCCTGCACTTGCCAAGCAGGCTCTGTGCCGCTGAGCTAAATCCCCAGCCCCTCTCCCCACTCTTGACTCCTTCTCCTCTGTGTGCCAGCTCCATGGACATTCTGGTAAATCACTGCCCCGTGATAAAGGCTGACTATGGAGACTGTCGAGTTGGAAGTTAAGGATGGCTAGACTGCAGGGAGGTCTCACATGGGTTGTGTGTATTGCACATCCATATTATGTTGCCACAACCCAAAATGGTGGTTCTGTGTGGTGTCAAAGAGATTTTGTGGGTGAGTGTGTTTGCCTCTGTCACCACAGCTCAGGTATGTGGTGACGAGTGCCTCCTATACCATTTCTACTCTTTTCATCAGTCCCCCAGAGGACCCTTTCCTAGTGATGTCCTTCTGTTTGGCAGCCCTTGGGTACCACCTGGTGATTACAGGAGCCTCTTAACTGCTCTTGCTGGCTCAGGTCTCTCTCTTCTCTTTCTTTCATGGGGTCTCTATGAATTCCAGTGCTCAAATCTGATATGATGTCCACGTTCAGAAATCCTTCACAGTGTATTCTAAATGATCCACCTTTTTTTTTTTTTTGTCTTTTTGAAACAGGGTCTTGCTGTGCAGTTCAGGCTGGCCTTGAGCTCATTTTGTAGCCCAGGCTGGCCTTGAACTCACAACGATTCTCCTGCCTCAGCCTCCCGAGTGCTGGGATTACAGGCGTGCACCACCACGCCCGGCTTAAATGATCCACCTTAAAGAGGCCACATGGCTTAGTAAGGAATTCAAGGCCCTTTGCCTTGGCCACATCTAGTCTTAACTCAGACATTTCTCTTTTTTTGCACTTTCTACTGCAGCAGGTAACCCTTCTATTATACCCAGTCTTCTGCCTTAGTACCTTTGCTCATATATTCTCTACGGGGCAAGAATAATTCTTACTTTTATGTCCACACATCCAAACACTTCCTACTTTCCAATATCCAATTAGAATGCCACCCACTCTGCTAAGCTGGGAGGGAGCACTCCTGCATCTGCCTACCAGCCACACTCTGCCTAGCTATCCTTTCTGTTTGGTCTCCAACGTTTTAAACCTTGTATTGTGGGCCTATGGTGTTTCAGCTTCCCCTGCATACCACCCACCTCACTTTGACTAGCATCTATCTTTTGAGGGGAAGATTAAGCCTGAATCATTTCTACTTCCTATTCTGCACGTAGCACAGGGCCATGCTTAGGGGCTCAGCAAGCATCTGTGACATGATTGAATAAAAAATATAATCACTGGGATATTTTGTTGATTTATTTGTCTTTCTTTGTCTGTGAACATCTGTTTTCTATCCAATACAAAGAAGCTTAACTCAGACAATAGTGCTATGAATAAAAACAACCAGAACTACAAAGTATAATGATTACAATACTGTGCTTAGCTTGCCTGTCCATTTATATAGTGAGAGTGTGGGAGTGTGCTGTGGAATTAGAAGAGTTAGGTACATGCTACAATGTTGGTCTCAATGTCTACTAGACACATACTTATGTGAGGATGTGAAGACCTTCACAGGGAAATACCCCAAGGGAAGAGACAGTTGAGGTAAATGAGCCTGTTTAAAAGAATAAGCTTTGGTTAAGAGCAAACAGGGGTAAAACTGGAGTACAAGAGGGTTTATTTTTCCTCCTGTTTGCTGGTTTTATCCCTCTTCTAAAATCTTTTGCAAGGCCCTAAGGAAGAAAAAGTTATGATGAAAAGAGGGATAGGGACAAAGAGGGATAGAGAAGGTGAATGGGTTAAAAAGCACCTAGGCTAAGAGGAAGATCACTGTCCTACACTGAGGGACATGAAAGCTGGCCTCACAACACACACACATCCTCTGGGTCATGTGTGCTCTGTCTATCCATGGAGTCTATCCATTACTGTCACTAGGCAGTGACATATACATGTGAACATGGGCAAACTGCATGTTGCCAGTGGCTGGATATGTCACATGGAGGTGCATTTGTGACACAAAGAGCCTGAATCTGTCTCTGAGTAGCTAAAGGAAAAAAGAAGTGGTTAAGGGAGTGGCTGAAGGTGACACAAAGTGGCTATGCACCTCACAAAGTCCTGGGGTCCCCAGAACCCATCTTAGAGGCAAGCAAGGTCCACAGAAGAGCAGCCATAGAAACTATAAACAGCATCTCAAGGGGGTGACTTGCAGTCCCACAACTACCACAGGTGGAAAGAGGGAAAAGCATTCTGCAAGCAGGAACACTGCATGCTGAACCACAGGTTGGGCACATCTGTGGTCTCCTTAGTGATTCAGGAGGGACTTCTATGGTCCTGTTTTTGACTATTGTCTCAGATTTATGTGGCTGAGGGAACAGAGGCTATCAATAGGAAAGAAACCTTTGCACAGTATGGATACCAACCTGGGGAGAGACCGCAGAGGAACGGTGATGGGGAGAATCCTCTGAGAAATCATTTAGAGCAGATCTCTAAGGCTACCAGTTCCTTGTCCACTCCAGAATTGGACAGAGTACAAGATGACATGACACCACAGCTGGCTGGATATTGTTTCTTAGAACCTAAGTCATTTTATCCTTGACCCAGCCCAAGTTTGTCCTGAGAATTTGTCATGGGTTTAAATAATCTAAAGAATTCAGCCACAGTGCATGACTAATCAGAAACTGGTTTGATCTAAGGGTAATGTGTAGGCTCGAATCCCCCTTGGATGAATTGTAGAACTTAGATTTGATCTGGATGCCACCTCATGCTTGGGAAACTTCAAATCATTGTATCTTCCCACACCTGAGGTACAGCAAGGCTCACAGTAATCCTGGGCGCAGACGGGGACTCAGGAAGCAGGAGCCTGGAGGAGTCGTGTACCAAAGCAAGGACAGAACTGAACCCTGGGGGCAAAGGTGCAGAGATGCATCTGAAGTCATGGGCTTCTACCAGGACCCCATATCAGACCATATCACTCAGGAATGTCCCCAAAGGGGTCTTTTTCAGGCAGTGAAGAATGATAAATAAGAGTACAAGTTTAGGAGTCAGACAGGTCTGACTTTTAATTCAGACTTCTCTGAATTGTATTGGATTCTATGTGTGTGCTTTTTAGCTTTCTTGGCTATGAGCATGGGAATGTTATTTATTACCTAATTCATAATTGCAAAAAAGCAAAGACGAAACATAGCACACAATTTACTTTCTTTTATTTCTCAAGCTATATGGAGACTTTTAAAGTCTTGGCCTTGCACCTAGTGTAGCTATTTTATGTATTGTGTGAATCAGTGAAACAGTAAATAAAATAATTCATTAGTGAATGAATGAACTGTTGAACATATTATAAAACTTTAGAAAGTGAATGCATGTAATTCTGCTCTAAAGAAAATGTCATTATCGAAGTTTTACCAGTTGTTTAGATTATTGTCTTAATTTAAAAAATTTGTAAACTGAAGCATAGCAACATAAACATTTCTATACATAATGTTTGATGCATGCATGCACTGTACAGTATTTAAATCAGGTTATACATTTAGGATCCTCAAACTTTTACATTTTGTGTGGTGCAAAGTTTCAAAATCTTTTCATCTAGCTATTTGAAATGTACAGTAGTATGTTATTTTTATCTATGTCACCATACTGTATAATAGTACCACATAGATATTTCCTTCTATCTAATTGTAGCTTAGTACACATGGATCAAATTTTCCCATGTGGCTTCCTGTCCCTTCTCTCCTTGGCTGGCCTCAAAGTCCCAGTAACCCTTCTGCTTAGACCCTGGGATACTGGATTACAGGGTGTACCCTCATGCCTAGCTTGATTTCAGTTTTCAAAAATCTGTTGAGGCTTATTTTGAGGCCTATTATATGATTATCCTGGAAAATGTTTTCATGCACCAGTGAGAAAAATGTGTGTTCTACAGCTGTTGGATGAAATGTGTTGTCGATAAGTGTTACACCCATTTGATCTAGGGCACAATTTAACTCTACTGTCTCTCTGCTGATTTTCTGTCTGGATGATATATCCATTGCTGAGAGGGGGATGTTAAAGTCCCTGACTACTATTGTGTTGGAGTCTATATTTCCCTTTAGGTTTACTAATACTTCCATATCAAGCCCATATATATTTATAATTGTTATTTCCTCTTTTTTTTTTTTTTTTTGGAGACAGGGTCTCCTTGTGTAGTCCTGGCTGGCCTTGAATTCACTGTGTAGCCCAGGCTGGACTCCAACTCACAGCAATCTTCCTGCCTCAGTCTCCCAAGTACTGGGATTAAAGCATGTACCACCTTGCCCAGATCCTGTCTCTCTGTATGGCTTTTGATTTAAAGTTTATTTTATCTGATATTAACATGACTACTTCCATTTTCTTTTGGATTCTTTGTATGGAAAATCTTACTCTATCTGTTCACTTTCAGTTTATGTGTTTCT